ACTGTGGAGCCTTACCTGGTCACATAGTAGACGGTGAGATATGCACTATGTTCTTCAGTGGGAGGTACAACAAAGGCCATTGAACAAGATACTGATCTATGCTTTCTCATAAAATCTTGTCCCCACCAGCAGATCCCTTCTTGCAGAAAATGCACTGTCCACTGCCTCCTGAACTCTGGCCTCTCTTACAACACTGGGTTTCTATAGAGCAGTGACAGTGTTTATTTGATTTGGTGCAAAATTGTGTGGTTAAAAGGGGAGCTGTGGATAAATTTCAAATCCTTAATTTGTGGATCATTAACTCTGCACTGTAACCCTTGGGAGACAAGGTCACTTGCTTCATGGTCTGGGAAGGTGCTTTTGCAAATAAGGGTGTTTGTTCAACACTGCTGATCCCTGCTGATCTGTTATAAAAGCCATGTTAGTTATTGTATTCATATGTTATGTACAGTCATGTGATGCTTGAGGCCTGAAATACATTCAGCCAGTCAGAAGAGATAAGGCAGGCTGCAATCTGGCTTTCTTCCCTGAGGTTTGCAGAATGTATTTGCAGATGTGTTGATCTTCAGGAGGCTGGCAGTCTGGGGATGGGAGGGGGAGAGGGAGTATTTTCATCAACGGCTTATTTCAGTACCAGAAGTAAATGAGAAGATGAGGTCATTTTTAACACCTCCTAGTAGCTGTGAAGTTGTCTTTCCCACATCCTGAGCCATGCTTTCTCAGTTTGGTATCAACAATGATTGTCAGCATTCATAAAGTGGACATGACCTTAGTAACTTCATCTGAAATTGTGTAGAGGTAATGAGCTGGACTGGGTCTGTTTCAATAATGCTTATTGCAGCAAAATGGTGTAAGTAGTTCACCTGATCAACAAACCAGTGGGATCAGCATCTTAGCTAGGAAACTACGAGCTTCTGTCTCATGTGATGTTTTAGTTCAGCAACATGTGAGCTACTTTTCCTCCTGTTACTAATCATTTTACCTTCTAGACTTTGAATGTTTCCAGCAAAGTCAAGGTTCAACTTCTTAATGCATCTAGGTGTTAAATAAAAATGAGGGCTTCATAGGAGTGGCTGTACCCAAATAATCTCCAGGGATAGGGTAAAGCTTTGCTGGACATTAGTTAAGAGAAGGAGGAATTGAATAAAAATACCAAGACCAAATATTTATGTTTGGCTTATCACAGGCTAAAGTTGAGTAAATATTGCTTAGCTTGAAGGGGTTCAGTACAAACCTGCCACTTTATGGTATATGAGTTTTGGCAAGGTACTTTGTGGTTGGTGAGTCCTGCATCTGGGAGTTGCTATGTCCAGCTACACATGACAGGTACATGCAATTTCGTCCCTTCTATCCAGAGGCTACGTGACACTGATTACAAGTGCCAAAGCTTCCTTTCCCCAGGCCAGAACTGGGAGTCCTGTTGTTTTCTGTTCTTCTAGGGCAGGAGCTGTGAGGCATCACCAAAGCATAAACAGAGGTGGGGCAGTTGTGACATTTTGTCTTCACTGACCAAGCTGTTTAGTTGGACAATCTCCATTTGCAAGCTGGTGTGTGAATGTTTAATGGAGCTCTCTGGTGCTGTTTAGGTTAGGGGTAATGTGACTTTGTGCACAGGCAGAGCTGCCTCTGCACATTCTTTGACTCCCTCATCCCTCCTGCAGGACTTAGCCTCTCTGAGGAGCTGAAGCATAGCACAGTTTCATCTGCACCCCTGCTACCTGCTCAGCCCACTTTGTACCTAAACAGTAGATTAAAGTCTTTACTATCTTATTTGATAGTTGAATAAAATGCTTTGTAACACTGGCATATTAACTGCAATCAAGTTTTGAAAGGTCTCTGGTTACTAGAAGGAAATTAGTCTGATAAATCGCTCTTTTTAATAAATGAGTAATTTTCCATAAGCAAGCTCAGAAACTATCCTCTGGGAAGCTTTCCCCATCCCCCTTTTAAAATTTTTATTTTCATTTTAATATATTACATGATTGTTTCTAAAGAACTGGGGGGTTTTGCCTTAAGAGATTAACTGTCATTGCAGTGTAAGCAGCTTGTAAACCCATCCTTTCTGTCTGCCTCAGCCAACCTTGTAGTGGTCTCATGATCAAGCAGTGGCCTATGAATTGTACTTCCAATATGATAATAACTAATGGTGTGACCTGGGATCATGCCTGCCTTTCTGTGCCTTTGTTTACCTGTTTGCCTGAAGAAGCATTACTGTCCCTGGGTCGAAAAGGCCTGTTTAACTTCAGCAAGGAGTTCCCAGATAATTATAGTTACTTAGTAACTTCCATCTCAGAGCAAACTGGTTGAGGCTGCTAAGAAATGTTGTGGCTTCCCTTTTGGTCAAAATCAGCAACTGACCTGAAGGTACCTCCAGTTCTCAAACCTTTAAACAGTCTGAACTCAAAAGTACAGCTTAGGAGCTGGAACAAATTGCTGTATTCCTTATGTACTCAGTCTGAAAGGGACCCCAGAAATGCACATTGACCCTGCTTTCACGCTAGAACTACAGATGTGCTAAGAACTTAATATGCTCTGTCTACTGAAGAAAAGCAAATGCTAGTACAAACAACTGTGACACTGGATTCATCTTGCCTTGGGCATATTTATCCAGGGTATTGCCATTACATCATTCACATTAGGCTTTTATTATCTACTATTTTTGTTCTTAGCAGCTGTTACAAGCTCTAGTCAGAGGTCAAGATGCTGTTGAACTTCAGATCTTTTTGAAAGAAGAGCATGATTCTACCAACAACATTAGATTTGCAGCAGTGCAATGTCATACAAATCATGAAAGATAATTTAATCTAAATTATATTTATTTTTAAAAATTAGGTTTAATTGCCAAAATTTTAGATACTTTTAATGTATGTTAATGCATGTTAAATTCCATCTAGAAAAGGCTACCATAATTTCATCTTTGAGAACTAAGTAAATTTGGGCTTTTTCATTATGTCAGAAAAGACTACAAATTATTTAAGAACAATTTCCACCATCTAAATAAAATAGTACTGAAATATCTGATGTAGTTTGTAGTAATTGCATAAAACATGATGACACGATTCTCCTTTATTTTTCCTCTGTGTGCAGTGCTGACCTTCATGAACGGTTCGTCACAGTGCATAATTACATTCCTTTCACCTAAACTATTTCTACATATTTTCAATTTCTATTTGCCAAAGCTGATTGTTGTTGAGTGTTTCAGTGTGGTTTCAATGCAAATTGCATGCAGACACTTGGGTGGTGAACTTCTGTGTAGTTTATGAGAAATTTTGCTCTCAGCCAAAATTCAGACTCAGAAGAGCAGAGACTCCAGAGAACTGTTGGTGAACTGTATCTTGGTTGCCACTGAGAGAAACACTCAAGGCAAAAATGCAGCCCATCTCCTGGAGCTCAAGTTTTTCATAAAATAATCCATTCCTTCTGAGGACCTCACTTCCAGATAAACAGTGCTCCAGGGCAAGCAGGAGATGGATCTTGCACTACTCATCAGTTAAAAGGTCCTTGTGATCATGAGCAGAAGCCGGGATATCTGAGCAGTCCCTGTTGGTCCAAGTACAGTCTCTATTTTTTATTGGAGAAACACCCCCCACCACCTCTGGCCTCAAAGCTTCAACCCCCAAATTCTGCTTAGTGTTATGGGTGGTATCTGACCCAGAGCACTTAGAAATCTCATCTGCTTAGGACTTACGCTCGCCATCCAGGCAGGAGATGACTCAAAGAGCCTGGTGAGATTTGTTTTGCTGCTATCTCCTCTGCCTGCGTTCTTGTCCAAGCTCCCCATTCCTGAGCTCTGCCTGCCCAGCATGTGCTGTGGTAACTGACACTGCAAGCTGCGTGGGCAGGGAATGAGTTTTGGTTTTAGTAAAAATGGGCAGTTACATCATCTTGCACAACAGGTCCTTGCTCTGTGCCTGGCCTGGGCCTACTGAGTCCTCCCAAGCTGCAAAAATACAGCAAACTTGAATTTGCAGTAATCAAAAAATATTATAGTATGTTATGTATACTAACAACACATTCTAGGCTGCTCCCTGCATAGAATCTCCCAGATGTACCTGGCAACAAGGGAGAGAGAGATTTGAATACTAATGTCAGCTGGAGGAGGGGGCCCTTATTAGTATTTTGGCTAATTGCCAGGTTGCCTGCTCTTGAAAAATTTGCCTGTGCTGAGCTAGACATATTTTTCATGTGTAGAAAATTTTACTGAGTGTTGGTAGGGCTTTATATTTTCCTAATGCTTCCTACAGTCAACTGTGTGAAGGTTCACAGTAGCCGTGAGGTCAGAGTTTCTAGGCCAAAGGCCTTTAGGCCTTCTTTGGAAGACTTGGAAATCTGTAACAGCTGAACAGACCCAGAAAAGACATTGCAGTTTTGGAGAGCACCAGATGTAAATTCACAAAATGAAGAAGTATTTTTGTGTTTTGTGGGCTCAGGGGGGCGGGAGGGGGGGGGGATTTTTTTGCTTGTTTGCTTGATGCTTCTTTTTTCTTTAGTAAATACAGATGACTAACTCAGGGCCTCCTTTTCTCCATCCCTGCAGGGAGAGCAAAGTCTCTGATGAGTTGCTTGTTCAAAAGGTTCCCACAGATTTTACCTTTGGGTCTGTTCTAGCTTTCTCATTGTTTTATGTAAGCATTTTCTGTGGTAATTAGTCTGTAACAGCATAATCCCTGGTGGCCTTCCTGGAGTGTCTGGACTCTCTGGGTTGAGAAAGCTCTGCTGGGGGGCAACATATTTTTCTCTACATGGGAAGAGTTGATGTTGTGAATGGTGTCCTGACTATGATGGAAAAATCTCTTAAAAGAGGAAAGTTTTGCAGCATTTCCTAGAAATGATTCAGGCTACATTTGTCTGATTTCCTCTGGAAGATCCCAGCAACCAAGATGGTGTGTGTATATTTTGTCACTGGCTGCTTCCTTCTGGACTCTGTGGTCTGCATTGTCCCAGAGGACACAGGTATGTATCTCTGTGATTTGTAGATGCAGTTGCAGGCATTTATTGTAGCTTGGCACAGACACATTCAGAGCTTAGAAGTCCAAGACCTTCAACTGGCAGTGGAAGCAGATTAAAAATCCTCTTCAGCTTCCTAAAATGCAATGCCTAGAGTCATCTGAACTGTGAGGCCATGAAGGAAAACTAGTCTTTTAAATGCTTTTAAAAAACTAAGTAGAGATTTGATACTTTGTGTTGGTTGCATTTACTCTAAATGATTTTGACAAGCTATCAATATGAATGCCTCAAATTTCAAGTTTTTCCTTTTTGGATGTAGCAAAATTAAGAGAGCCTTTCAGGAGTATTGCCACAGACAGAGGAAGAACAGACATGTCCAGGGGAAAAATGCATCCATCCCATGGGAATTAACAGAAGAGAAAGGGCTTGGAAATCCTAGTTTTGGAAGCTTATCTGCAGACAAGGGATTTCTGCAACACAACAGACCCTAAAAAACTTAACTTACAGCTGCAGAAGCTCTTCTTGCTCTGTAGGGGAGAGAAGTCACTTGGAGTGGGATTTGGCTGGCTGAGCTCTTATCTTGGGCCCTTGGACACATCCCATGACTCAGTTTCCCTGTGTAGAACAGAAAGATTTCTCCTGATAGTCTTTGAAAAGCTTATTTGAAATCTTTTGGTGAAAAGGGCCATAGTGACCAGGTGCTGGTGGTGTGTTCACAGCAGAATCTGTGTGATCTGAAGTCAGAGGGACCCTTGTACAGAAACTGAACCAGTTTCATTGCCTAAGCCCTGTTTTATGAATACCCCGAGGCTGAATTTAACAGCTGTCGGTCAGCACGGTGTCAGTGGTGCAGTGCAGAGGTGCTCACACCCCGGAGCAATCCCATTTCTGGGGCTGGTTTGGGGCCCATCCCTTGCTACCTCCATTCAGCCTCCTTGTGTTGAGGAGTGGGGCAAGAATGGGGACAAACAGTTCACCCTTCCAGCCGTTCAATTCACCCTCAGCCATTCAATTCACCCTTCCAGCCGTTCAATTCACCCTCAGCCGTTCATTTCTCCCTTCCAGCATTACAACACACACAGGGCCACTTTTATGTTCTTGACAGCTGTGATCTTACCTCTGGAACACTCGCATGCAAAGTAGACGGTTTTTTCCCACATTATTTTTGCTGCACAGTGCAATAGACAAGGATTTCCCATCTGCCACATGAAGGAATGAACAAGGTACGGTTTGAGTATTTCCATGCTGTTAATGAAACTTCTAAAGTTCTCCTTCCTGCTAGTTTTTGGCTTGTGAAAGATTTTCCAGCAAGCCGATTAGTACAAAAGAAAATTAAACAAACCAAAACAACACCCTTACCAGGGCTGATTCTCGCTTTAGTGCTTTGTGATTTTTTTAAATGACCGTCCCTGAGGGCTGGTGGGGTGTGGGGCCGGGCGGGCGCCCTCAGGGGCGGGGCGGCCCCGGTGGTGGCGGCGCGGACTCCAAGTCCCGGCATGCCGCGGGACGCGGCGCATGCGCGCCGGGCCGGGTTTGAGTGGCAAGTTGTTTGTTCCAGCGAGCACCAGCTGCTCGGCACTCCGGGCTCCGCTGCTCCGCTCCGCGCCCCGCCGGCCTCCCCGCCGCTCCAACTTTTGCACCCTCTGCTCCCTCATCCCCTGCTCCTGCCCCCGGAGCTGGGAAGGGACAGACGGAAGCGGGGAGGGGAAAAAGGAAAAAAAAAAAAAAGAAGGCACCGACAATAACAGCCCCCCCTCCCCCTCCCCATTCAAAAACACAACATAAACCCCAGGGATAGATGAACTACAAATGAGAAAGAGGAAAAGATGGAACTGCACATCCTAGAGCACAGGCTCAGAGTGGCCAGCATAGCCAAGGAGAGCATCCAGTTGTTTACCTATGGATTAATCAAACTTGCTTTCCTGTCCTCTAAGACGAGGTAGGTGCTGGGGATGGGGCAGCGGGGGAGGGGGTGTCCCCCTTGCGAGGGGACAGTGTTGGGGGCGTATCCCCCTTGCTGCGAGGGGACTGGGTGCTGGCAGGGCACCCTCCTTCCCTCCCAGGGGCTGGGGTGGGGGATATCTGCCTTGCAAGTGAGCAGAGCAACCTCCTTGGAAAGGGGGTGGGTTGATGGGTGCTCTCCTCCTTGGGGGGGGAAAAATAAAGCAGGGTTCTGGGATGGGGGACACCCCTCCTTGCAAGGGGACAGCGTTGGGGTGGGGGTCACCCTCCTTCCTGCCAAGGGGCAGGGTGATGGCACCCTCCTTCAATGAGTCAGGCTGCTGCCTGGGGGGGGTCGCCCTCCTCGCCAGAGGGCAGGGATTTTGGGGGGTGAGGAGAACACCTGCGTCTTCCCTACGCACACCCCCCATCCCAAGACGGGGAGATGGTGCTGAGGATCAGCGCTGGAGTTCAGGGTGTCCCCGTGCAGCTTTGGGGCAGCCCCCGTGCTCCTGCTGCTCGCCGCTGCCCGGCCGGGCCGGCCGATGAATGGGAGCAGGTGGGGGCCGGGGGCCCGGCCGGGCCGGCCGCAGCCTCGGGGCGCCCGCCGGACAACAAAGGCAACAACAGCAGCCCCAGGAGGAGGAGTGCTGCTGGGTTTTTTCCTCTCTCGCTCTCTCTGGTTTTGTTGGGGTTTGGTATTTTTTGGGGGTCTTTTTTCGCCCCCCCCCCCCCCCCCCGGTTTTTTTTTTTGTCCGCTCTCCAAAAAAA